GAACCTCCACCATTTGGTGGAGGACTGAATTACAGAACATGGGCTAGATGGAGTACTATGCACCCACTGAAATCTGCATGCAAAGGCTGTCTTGGAAACACAGAATCAACATTGATGATAAAGCATTGACAAAAGGGAAGCAGCATGGCCCACATCCATTAGTTTCCTTTCTTTTTCCTATAAAAAGTATAATAAAAAGGTGCAGGGGAAGCTACCTTGAAATGAAGAGTTCTTAGGGCAGTGGTTTGATGAGCTATTTGTTCTGATTCACTGAAATATTCCCTGGGTGTTTACCCTGTGCTGGGACTGGTGCTGGCACTCAGGATGGAGCATGAATGGAAATGCACTTCCTGCTCTCCATCTCCCGCTTCAAATCCAGCGATACATTTTTCTCCCCTAAATGTCCTTCAAGCCTATCACAGCATCATCTTTCAATAAAAAAGTTACTGCGAGAGAAGTCAGAAAGAGCGTGCTCCCCTCCTTCTGGGTAATGTATTTCATTCCAGGTATTGGAGCCACCATCAGCTGGGTCACATACATGTTAGAGGAAAACCGAATGCAAATGAAGTAGTGACATTTCAGTCTTATAAAGTCTTAGTTTCCTCTGCAGCAAGAGCATTTAAAAAAAAAAACTCATGCTGAAAACGAGGAAAAAAGTTAGGACTTGTTACTAATCTCGTGGCTGAATAATTAAGTGTGCCTAATTCTGAAAGTAGCAAACTAAATTATGCAGTGCCAAAAGCGACAACTCTCATACCTACACCATCCCATCTATACCGGCATGGTTTTAGCTTTACAGCTAAAAAATGCTGCCAGAAAACCTAACAAAAGGAAGCAAAAATATTTCTGTTTCTATCGAGCTGCCATTTGAAAAAGACTTTTAAATATGTTCTCCCCTATGTGTAAATCTGACAGCAGATGGATAATTAAAACCCCAGTGGAGCACTTCCTTTTAATCTTTTCAAAGTAAAACAATAAAACATCCTTTAGGATGTGAAATGATGGATTAATACTCTTTAGGTTGTTCTGAATACCTCTGAGCCAGAGTGCTGCCTCCAAGAAAATTGTTCGGAACCAGAACACAAACCTCTGTCTTCCCCTTTGGTTCATGTGATCACAGAAGATGTATATAGTGACACACCAAAGGCCACACACATGCATATCTGACAAGCTATGCTTGCCTTGGATGTTTGTTAAATGGATGAATGAATAAATGGACCCATTCATATTAAAACAAAGTGCATTTCAACCCTCAGGGAAGGTCACATAGCATAAATGGAAGAAATAATAATTACCCAGGGTTTCAGTTCAGGGTAAGCAATCAGTATGAATAATTTTGAGCATCAAATAAGTGGACTTCTTATTTTGCTTGAGCTACTGAGACTAACTTTCTATACAGCCTCAACTATTGCTAAATAAAATAGTCACAGGCAAGTTCCCCCACTGGGTCTCTGCCATGTGGATACACTGTGTCTACATAACTGCAGACTGCCCAGCTCTGGAGGTGAGGCCCCATTCAAGCGAAATGTCAGGACCAATACGCTGTCTCATTATGATAGTCCCTGTAACCTTGAGCACACAGAGCCAAACTAACCTTTCCATATTACTTTTATTAGTTGAAGGCCTGTCCTGGCCCTTTCTTCCCTCCCCTTCACACAGGCTTATCCAGAATTTCAAGTGTGTGCACACACGCATGCGCACACACACACACACACGCACATACACACAAAGGTAGAAAGTGGCTTCTGTCCTTGGACTTGGTTTACCAAAATGTCTTCTACCTGTGAGTGCCCCTGCCTCTGACTTTCTTCACCCTGGCTCTGGCCTGCACAGTGTCCACAGCCTATACAGATGCTTCTGACCCATCTCACCTGTAAGATCTGTGTGGCCTTTCAAGTCTTCTCTGGATTGAATCAGTTGCTGGCCTGACAAGTTCCTGCCCTGGTGTCAGGCACACACCAGATAGACACACACCCCTTATTAAATACTTAAGGCTCAGACAAGAACATGTGCACTGATTGCATGGAATTGGTAGAAAATACAAGGCATAATTTGGCTTCTGGACCTATCTGACCCCTCATTAACTGTATGACCTTGGACAAGTCCCCTAATGCTGTGTCACATGGGCTTGGACCAAAGGTTTCCCTTCCTAGTCTAATCATCTTTAGCAAGGATGGCCAAGATATGTTGCCCATAAATGCTGCAATCCAGCTGTCCATGTTGGGGTATGTGTTAACCTTTGCCATACAGACTAAGTTTTAACCTTTCAAAATATAACACTGGACCTGACACACACAAAAATATATCATACTTATGTCTTTTCTATGCTAAAGACTAGATTAATCAATTTATCTGGGCTTACACAACACACACACAAAAAGAAATATCCTGTTTGATTAGGCAGTATAAACAGTTGAACCAAGTTGTTCTGGTCTCCTGAATTCCACACTGCTGTCTGAACTATATAAAACTGAGTACCTGCTAATTTTCCTCTTCAGCGGTGAGGCGGCAGATAGAGAACCCTGACTGCCCATTTTGGACTGAGCTTTCGCTCCCTGAGCTGTTGAATTCGTAAAAGCATCAGTAATAATAATTGTCTCTGCAGTCTCAGGACATTTAAGGGGAGAGAACTATGTAAGCAGAAGAGAAACTGACAGATACAGGTCTTTACTTTAATCTCATCCAAGTGCATTTTACCAAGAGAAGGTTGAAATGGTAATTGTGGCACCTGGGGATTTAGTACAATGTATCTCTTCACCAAAGTGACAATTTAAACCACTACCCCAGAAGGTGGGCACCTGGCAGAGATCTTGCTGCTCCTGTGGCTGCACTGGTACCCTGCACAGGGCTGGTTCAAGCTGGAGCTGTTCATGAGCTGATTTGAATGTTTTCCTATAGACTCTGAAAGCAACGTGCTGGGTCATTCATAACACAGCCACATGCTTCAGTGTAGCCCTCCTACACTGCTTGCCTACATCTAAAAACACAAATCAAGAAAGAGAACATAGTTTCTTTCCATTTGGCTAAAAACAGCCAATCCTGCCAGTAGGTTAAAGGCAGGGGCATGGAATAATCTTCCAACATGCCGAATTGATTTTGTGTGCAGAGTTGAGGAAGAAGCTTTAGAAGCCATGACTAGGCTCAGAATCATTGCCTCGGAGGGAGTACTGAACCCAAGATTGATGGGAGCTCTTCACAGAGGCACAGAGACCACAGGTCACCCTAATGGGGTCCCATCTGGAAGGCCTCAGAGCCAGTACAGGAAGAGGACACTGCTGACAGCTTCCCCTTTGTCCTATGGGTTGCATTAGGAACTTAGAGCACATCACTGGGAAAAAGAGGCTTGACCACCCAACATGCTCACAGGTGTGGCTCCAGGTGAAAGACAGCAAAAGGGTGTGTGGACAAGAGGCAGAGCACAAGTCAGTGAGGCACTATGAATGCATGATGTCATCCTCCAGGACTAAGCATCCTTAGTACTTTTAAAGTACTTTAAAAAAAACCTCTAGTTGCTATAGCAACTTGATGCAGCTCTTAAAAGGGGATTTGTTTTTGAGGGGGTCATTTTATATTTTCAATCACCATAACAACATGATATAGCTTTTAAAGGGTATTTTTATCCAATTTGTGTATGCTTTGGATTGAGGCCACATTTGCCTTTTCTATCTCAAATAATCAGATCAAGCATAACATATAAAAAGAATCATTGAAGGCAAGGAAGCCCTTTCACAGATTGCACTTGTCCACTCTGAGAGATGTCTCTAGCTGTTCATCCTACAAAAGGATGCAACCACACTCTGGGCCTCCAAGCAGCCCCATACAATTAGTCGGTGCCCCAGGAACTGGGCCGGCACCAAAGTACCCAGAACCCACCAAGGAAAGGCGTATCTAGCAAATTCCTCACTCCTCAGCCCAGTAAGCACACTCTGCATCCCAAACTACACCAGCAGGAGACAGTGCCTTGGGATGACTAGTTGACCAGTCACGTTTCTCCCACACCAAGTTCTGACAAAGTGAAAGCTTGTATTTCTCTGTCCTCTGTACAGGTGAATAAAGGGGGAGATGGGGCTGTTTCACAGGAGTCCAGGGAAGGGGAAGGGGTGTGCCAGGCAGGAATGCAGCAGAGGTAGGGTGGACACACAGCAGGGTGGTTCCAGAATCTCTCTCCAGGAGGGGCTCAGAGGCCAAAAACGAGCGAATAAAGGGAAACATGGGGACATTCTTCTGGTTTAAAAAATTCTTTATACCAAAAATGATGAGAAGGGGTAATGGAGAATGTAGGGGAAATCTCCCTGTTCCTGGCTACCCCTTGACACCACTACTGGAAAAAGTGGCTAAGGAACAAAGAAAAGAGGTCAAGAAATTGGACGAGAGGCTGGGGTGTGAGGAGGAGAGAAGCCCGGCAAAGAGCTGCAGACCAGGCTCTGGCTAACAGGCTTTACGTGACGAGGAGGAGGAAACTGCAGGAGAAGATGGTGGGAAGGAAGTCTGGAGAAAGTGTTTGGGGCAAGTGGTCACCCTACCCAGAGTAAAGGCCACCTGAGGGGAAACGCAGGCTGAAAGAAGAGGAAGAGTGCAAAAGAAAAAACAAGGACTCTGAGAGTAGGGGTAGGCAAAAGCTTTCCAAGTCATCCGGGCGACCACGCTGAGGCCAGGACAGGGGTGGGAAACCGGAAGGAACCAGCGGTCCCTGAGCCATATCCTCACAAATCCTCTTGCAGAGAGACACCGAGGCGCATAGAGGTTAGGACAGGCGCCCGGACGTTCTGGAACGGGCGGCCGGGATCTGCCCATTCGGACACCGACGGGTGGGCGCCCGGAGACGGGCAGCTCAGGCCACCTCCCGTGAGAAAGGCCAGGAGAGAGAGAGGGGCAGGAGGAGGGGCCGCGGAGAGGAGAAGCGAGGCAGTAGGCAACTGGGTGCGGGAAGGGCAAGGAGGGGCCGGGCCGCGGGCAGCAGGAAGGGCGGCGAGGGGAAGGGCGCGAAGCGCACCGCTCACCTATGGTCGACACCACAGTGCCCACGAAGTAGAAGGCGCCCGGGAAGTCCCAGCGCGGGCGCAGGGCGTCAGCGCGGACCCCGGCGGCCAGCGCGGCCTCGTAGTGCCGGAGGAAAGCGCGCAGCTCGGGCTCCGCCACGCCGTGCGCCGCGCTGAAGTTGCGCAGCGTGGCGCCCCAGCGCGCGCGCGCCTCCGCCTCGCCGGGGCTCTCCAGTGCCGAGAAGACCGTGGCGCCCGCCACCAGGTAAAGGCCGATGAGCGCCGCCAGTAGCACGAAGCGACCGGTGTCCTCGTCGAGGTGCGAGCGGCGGCGGCAGCAGCAACAGCAGGAGGGGCGCGGCGGGCGGCGGCGGCGGGGCGGGGGCCGGGGGCCGCGCGAGGACATGGTCCGGAGCTCAGCCGCAGGGCTGTGGCGGCGCGCGGGGCCCGGGCCGCGACATCCCCCCGCGGGAGCGGGACGCGAGGCGAGCCCGGACGAGGGCGCTCAGGGCGTGGGGCCGGCGGGCGCCCCGGCGGGGGCGCTCGCCTTTGCGCCCCGACGCCTCGCTGGCCCCCGCGACTCCCGGCCCGTCGCCCTCGGGCGCGGGGCTCCGCAGCTAGGCCCCTGCCGCCCTGTGCCCGGCGTCCGCGGGGCCCCGGGCCGCATACTCCTCCCCACACAGGCCGCGGGCTGCGCGCGGGACTGGCCGCGGAGCCCGGGCGCCTAGGACCAGGGGGCGGGAGCCGGTCGCGCAGAGGGCCCCGGGGGCGTCACAGGGGGCATCTTCAGCCCCGCGGGTCCCGGGCGCAGGCGGCCTGGGAAGTGCTGCTCGCGCCCCCGGGGCTGGGCGCACAGCGTCGGCCTCGGAGCCGCAGGGACGATCCGAGTGCAGGGACGCGAGCGTTCCCTCCCCAGCTCCAGCCCAAGAGCCGCCCGGCGCCGAGAGGCGGAGTCAGCGGAGCCCAGGGCGGGGTGTTGGGGGGAGGAGAGGGAGAGGGGGCGGCCCAAAGGCGGGGTACCGGGCGAGTGGCGACTGCGGCGCCGGCGGCCACCCCGCTCCAGAGCCCCGTTTTGCCCCTCCCTGCGATCTGGCTCCGGAATCCCTCGCTTGTCTCAAGCCGCCGGGAAACTTTGCCTAACTTGGCGGCCCTTCGAGCTCTCCGGGGCTGGGAGCCGCAGAACGCGAGCTCCTGACCCTGGTCTTCGGGCTCCAGTCCCAAGTCTGAGTTCCTTTCTCACACTCCTGGGTCCTGGGTCCACCCGCAGTGCCAGGACTAGTAGGGGCCCCTCGGGATCACGGCGTGCTCCGGAGCGGGGAGAGGCGGACGCTACTCCCACTCCAGCGCTGTGCGGCGGCGTCAGCACCGCGGACAGCGCACCGTGCTGCAGGGCTGCGGGCTGAGCTCCCCGCTCCCCGCGCGCCCCGCTCTCCTCGCTCTCCTCTCTACCTCTGAGCGCTGTTCTCTTAGGGAAGTGCGGCCGCCGAGGCAGCGCGCGGACAGGGTGGGAACGATGCGGAACAGACAGAGGAGGCAAGCGCGGTGGTGGAGGGGGGGGGAGCTGAGACCACCGGGGCCGGAGGAGCACAGGCCTGGGGACTGCGGGTCTCTCTCGCTTCTCCTGGGCGCCGTGCCCTCCACCCGGGTCAGTGAGGCTGCACACGCCCGATTGCTGCGGGGGTGGAGGAGGCGCAGGAGAAGCGCGGAGGAAGTGCACTGGCGACCCCCGAGGAGATACATGGTCCGCAGCCGGAAGGAGCGGTGCCCCGCGCTGCGGAGAGCGCTTTTCCACCGGATCGAGCTGGGGCGCAAAGTTCTTAGGCCAGAAACTCCCTCTGAGACAGCCGCCTTCTGCGCAGCTAGCCCCTTCTCCATCCCAACGCCTCACCCCCACTGACCACGTTCTCCAGGCCGCGAGGAGGACCGTGATGATCATGGTACAGTAGAGACGACAGAATAATGCTGGGGACCGTTCTTAAACGCTCCAGGTTGGGGGAGTGACCTGCGGCAAAATTCAGAGCTGCCCTCACCCCAGACCCCACCTCGCCGCCCCAGCCCCAGGCTCCGGGTAGAACTCCGAGCTGGAGGGAGGTCTGCTCAGAGTGGAGGCGGCAGCGGCAGTCCCCTGTGGCCTGGGATGCTCAGCGTGGCCCCAGAATGAGCCGCCCTCACTCCCTGGGCCCTTTCACAGCTTTGAATCTGGGGTCCTCTGACCTGGCACCTGAGCCCCACTGGGGGGAGGGGGCATCTGACTTGGGATGTGGATTATACCAAACCAGGGGCACCAGGGACTTCCTGGAAATGCTGCTCGCCTGTATTGGTGCACTCCTCTGGGTCTGAGCAGATGGGGAGAAATCCATCAGCAGCACCACCACCACCACTCAGAACTGCGCTTCCTGGCACTGGAGGGAGACCACAGGGCTGGTTTTTCAGTACTCTTTTTAGCAGGGGTGGGAGGCTTTGTGTGTAACTGGGAGTGATCTCTTACCCACTGAAATCCGCCTACCCACCCCATTTCTGGAGCACAGTGGGGGGCCTTCTACAAACACAAACTGGCCTTGCACACTTTTGTCAGTATTATCGATACTTTCTCATTTCCTCTCCTGGGCTCTCCAGAGTGTTGCCCCAGGCCCTGTTCCTCCAGCCCCCGTTCCTCCAGCCCCCACTCTGAGGACCACCTAGTCACAGAGCTCTGGGACTGAATTCCACTTGGCTGGTCTTCTCTGTAAGAGGTCCAGAGAGGAGTCATTTCGAGAGTTGCCCAGGAGCCTCCACATATAGCTGAAGGGCACTGCCGGGCCTCTCTGGCTATCTTTGCCCAGACTTCAGTACAGGGACAGGTTTCATCTCTGCAGTGTTCTGTGCCTATAGGACCAGCTCCTGCCCAGTTGGCAGTGGGGATGCCTTGTCCTCCAAAATGTTATTCTAGCTTGATTAGCAGCAAGCCCCTGGCATCAATTTCAACTCTGAATGACCTACTCAATTTATGTAATAGGGAAATGATGACTTCCCTGCATGGGTCTTTCAGGAAACTAGCCCTGTGATGAATGTGGCTTTTGCCCACTGAATCAATATTTAAGCCACTGACTGCCAGCTGGCTACTCCCACCCTAAGCTGCTACAGCTGCCTCCTGAGGATAGGGCTCACCACTGCAGATTCTGCCCAATAGGTCCATAGTGGCTGCGCTGGCCAGTCTTGCTGTGAACTTACTGTCTGATCTCATCATGTGACTGATGTGTCTAAACCACCGTCTCTGGTGGCTCCCCTAAAACTGTAAAAGTTTAGTCTTTAAACCCTGAGGCCTCCATTCAAACCCTTTAATGAAGTGATTCCCAGTAAAACGTTCCGGTCTTGCCTACAGCCTCTTCTCAGGTATTCCATTTCCACCCAACCAGGTCTTTGCTCGGTGCCATGGCCCTTATTGGAAGGACATCTTCTTTCTCCTCTCCACTTCTTATATGTAGCTCAACTCAGGTTACACTTTTTCAAGAAAACTTTTCCTTTGTAGTATATTTTAACTCAATCACTTTGATGATTTCAACTCCAAGCATCTTGAATCTGCCATGCACTAGAGAACTTCAGACACGACCCTTGAACTGGTGCAGCCTCTTTCTTTTTCTCCTTCTCGCACCCTCTTCCTCTCTCTGTGCCTTTCTGTCATTTAGGAAAGAAAATGCAAAGCACTGCTTAAGAAAATTACTAAAAAGGAACCTAAGAACATTTATTCCCCTAAAACAAAACCAACCAAAAAACTTTTGAGAAAACCCAGTGCATGAGAACCAGCTACCAAAGGTAGAAGGTACCGAGAGACTAAAGAAGGTAGACAAATTTAGGATTACCACAGTGCAATTTATTAGACATAGAAGTGTGTCTCAGCAGCAAGATAGATTCTTGCACCACAGATCTGAGCAGCAGGAAGAAGGTGGCCCACAGCCAATTAGAATGTATGATAATAAGCTTTTATATATAAAGAAATTATTTAAATATATCAAAAATCATTTGTAAAATATTTGTAAAAACTATTTGTAAAATAAAATAATTGCAATTTTTTTAAAAAAAAAGAAAAGAAAATACAATGCAGAAGTTTTATCCAGGAAAATTAGGTAGGTCAAGTGCAACCACTGGCAACCTCACTCTTGGGTATAAACTAAGACAAACAAATGTGCATCCACACAAAACTTGCACTTTAATGTGCAGGGAAGAAAAACAACAACAAACAGGTTCATTAACTGATGGATGGGAAAGTAAGACAATGCTTCTGTACAATGAAGTATTCAGCTATAAGGAGGAGTGGAATGCTGGCACATGCTGATGCATGAATCTTGAACTACTGTCTGATTGAAGGAAGCCAGTCACAAAAGACCACATATTATATGATTCCACTTGAACATTTCTCTGTCCAGAACAGGGAAGTTCCTAAAGAGAGAAGGAACTTAGTGGTTTGGGGGGTTAAGGAAAAATAGGAATGACTGCTCATGGGTATGGGATTTCTTTTAGGGGCAATAAAAATGTTTTGAAGTTGGTTGTGGTGATGATTCCCCAGCTTATAAACAGACCAAAAAGATCAAATTGTATACTTTTGTTTTTTGTTTGAGATAGGGTCTCAATACATAGAATTGATCTCTTGGAAAATAATTTCTTTAAATTAAAAAAAATAGAGAAAAGTAGAACCAGTTTAGCTGTGTTAAAGAGAAAATTAATTTGAATAAATTGAATTTGAATAAAGGACTTTGTTCCAGAAAATACTTTCTCTTAATTATTGATCTGTGTTGGTAAATTTTTTATTAGAAATTCAGCATTCCAAGTAGCATATTCAAAATGTCCCCAGTGCCTTCTAATTGCTGATCTCCCCCTTCCCACTTACTGTCTGCCTTACTTGGTGGTAGTTGGCTGTGTGACAAGATACTTTTTTTTTTTTGTACTGGGGATTGAACTCAGGACCTTGAGTTTGCGAGGCAGGTGATGGAACCACTGAGCTAAATCCCAGCCCACAAGATACTTTTTTAAATGTCTGCAGAAATTGATCATCTCTAGCCTGTGGAAGTTAGTTGCCTTCTTCATTGTACAAAATGCAGCAACCTTCCTTTCCCATTCTCTTGGAATTAAGGGTTTTGTAAAACATTTTATGTTTTAAGTGACTTGGCAAGGGTTTTCCCACACCATATTTCACAGAACTGGTGGCTGAGGAGGAGTGAACCACTTTTACCCAAGACCTTCTGGGGTGGAAGAGAAAAACGTCTGATCTAATTTGAGGCCAGGGAGTCTTGTTGAAGAAAAGCAGTAGTGTGTATGTGCGTGTGTGTGTGTGTGTGTGTGTGTGTGTGTGTGTGTGTGTGGCTATAGGGATAAAGTTCCCTTGAAGTGAAATTATTCTCAGGAAGGGGAAGTTTGACTGGAAGTTCAGAC